TGCCTTCCAAATTACAAAAAAAAATTAATATATACATATTTACTTATTTATTTATTTTTACTTCTATTATTATTATAACTTTATGAAATACTTCCAAAGGCCCTGGGATTTTCCTTACTCCCTCTCCAAGTTCCCTTCCCCCACTGAGTTCCCCTATATTATTACTACAGTATAGTTCTTCATAAACAGTCCATCATTGCGGACATGGACAATAGCAGAGACACCAGCATCCTATTGTCAAGATACAGTTAATAGTTTCATTAATAGTCCATCTCTGGTCTGGAAATAGAGATGCACACCACATTGTATCCTCACATCTGGATATGATAGTGTCCATTACACAGTTACTATACATCCCCTTAAATGAAAAGCCACTACAATAACAAGAAGAAAAATAGAAATTTACAATGCCATGAAGTTAAATAACATGCTACTGAATGACTAATGCGTCACTGAAGAAATAAAAAAGGAAATCAAGAACCTTCTTGAAGAAAATGATGCTACTGTATGACCTGTGAGTGAGTGAAGAATTTAATGAGAGTTTGGAAGAAACGAAACTAAATTTAAAGAAATAAAAATCCATGATACATGGTTTTCGCTGATCTTTGTTGGTGAGATATATCTTCTGTAGGCGACAAATAAATTGGTTTTGTTTTTTTTAATGCAGTCTACTAATCCATGATATTTGATTGATGAGTTTAAGCCATTTAAATTCAGGGCTAATATGAATGGATGGCAATTTGGTCCTGTCATTGTAGCAATGGGTTGTTCATTGATTTAGTCTTCTGTTGTTATCTTACTGGGATGTTCTTTGCATTTGGTTTTGGTGGGTGCTATTCCTCTTCTCTGTCAAGAGAACATCTGTAAATATCATTTGTAGAGCAGGTTTGGAAGAGGCAAATTCTTTTAACTTTTCTTTACTGTGGGGGAATTTTATTTCATTTTTAAAGACAAAAGAAAGCTTTGCTGGGTACATTATCCTGGGCTGACAATTTTTGCTTTTAGAATCTGGAATATGTTGCTCTATTCTCTGCTGGCTTGTAAAGTTTCCTGTGAGATGTCTCCTGTGAGTTTAATTGGCATTCCTTTATATGTCAGTTGACTTTTATCACATGCACATTTCAGGATCTTTTCCTTATGTTCAATTGAAGAGAGCTTGATGATCATGTGTCACGGTGAAGATCGCTTTTGGTCAACCCTGTTGGCAGTTCTGTGTCCCTCCTAGATGTTGTTTCCCAATTCTTTCTCTAGGGAAATGTTCCCTTATTATTTCATTAAATACATTTTTTAACCCAGCTTTTCTTTCTGCACCTTCTGGGACACCCAAACTCTTATATCTGGCCTTTTGATAGTGTCTTTCAAATCTTGGATACTTTTTATTAGCTTGATCCAGCTCTGCTTCCAGATTTTTGTTTTCTCCTAGTGGCAGAAAATATCTTCCAATTCTGATATCCTTTATTCTGCTTGCTTCATTCTATTTTCAACACTCTCCACTGTACTTTTAATTTGCTCCACTGTATTCTTCATTTCTGATATATCAGCTTTCATTTAATTCATCTTCTGTGTGACAATTTCCTTAAATTCCTTCAACTCCTGCATTATGTGCTTCTCCTTGTTGATAAGAAGCTTTATAACAAATGTTTTGAAATCTGTATCCCCCATTTTCTCGATGTCTTCTTCAGTGAAATCTGAGCTTGGCAAAGGGTTTTGCTCCTTTCAGGGGAGTCTTCAGTAATATTCATTGTGCCTTTGTCTCTTCTTTTGCTCTTGGTCATTGTACTTCTGGTTAGCAGATCTCCTCCTTGGGGCAGGTTTCTAAGCTCTGTACCCACAGGTCTACAGTTCGATTTTACTTACTGCAGTTGGTATACAGCTCTTTGTTTGCAGTCAGCTTTGCCACTCCCTCCCGAGTTCCAGGCCTGAGTTCTTACGTTAGACTTCCACCAAGGTCTCGGTAGCCCCAGCTCCTGGCTCACCACTCTCCACCTCCTGCGATACCGTGCTGAGGCTGCACCGTTTTCTGTACAACCTTTCTCACACTTCTGGTTGGAGCAGTTCCCAGGATTAGGGAGATACCAAGTATCTTATATAACTAGATTGTTGGTGGTGCTGATCATGCTGAAACCTGTTGGCTATTAGGTCTGAGAGCCACCTGGACCTATTTTGACCCATACAATGCCAAAGTTGGTATTATTTTCCTGTGGGAGCAGTGCAATGTACTGAGCTCAGTGAGTTCTCACCAGCTCAGCACATGCACAGTTCACCATTATCCCTGTAGTCTTCAAGTCTTTCCACATCTTACAAAATGGGTCATGATGTGCTACTACTAGTGTTCTTGATCAGGTCTGAGGTCTACCCAGACCCATTTTGGATGGGAACTGTAGGATGCCACATTGGTGCAGCTCACTAAGCCAGAAGTGAGTCCACTCCCGGCTCAGGGCATAGGCAGTTCTGTTCCATAGCCTTTGCCTTCCTATACAAAATGACACCTTATTTGGCACTAGAGGAAAAAGCAAGCTATGAAATCCAACCTGTTCCCTCAATGCCCATCTGGGATCTGCCACTCTGTCTATGCTCCTGGTCTAATCAAACAGACTAGTAGGACAGGCAGTGTTTGGGTTCACAGCCTGAGCTCCTGGTGAATGCCCCTTCCCACCTTGTTGCTGGTGGAGTTCTGGCTGCCGGTGCAATTCAGATCGCTGCTCTTCGAATAATGCTGGGGTATCAGTCACTGCAACACCACACCATTGTGTCTCTGCTTTCCTGTGCCAGTCTCCAGGTGCCCATGTGCTATCAATCTGTCCTCTCCTATTTCATGGAATGTGTAGTCGGCTTTATACTGGCTGATGTTTCTCCATCTGTTTAAATGTGCCCTTAGTTTATTCTGCCATCTTGTTTCCCTACCCAAAATATATATGTATATTTTTAAAGATTTATTTGTTTCTATTACAAATTCAGATATGCAGAGAAGAGGAGAGACAGAGAGGAAGTTCTTCCTTCTGATGATTCACTCCCCAAGGGACTGGTGCTGTGCCAATCCGAAGCCGGGATCCAGGAACCTCTTCCGGGTCGCCCACGCGGGTACAGGGTCCCAAAGCTTTGGGCCGTCCTCGACTGCTTTCCCAGACCACATCAGGGAGCTGGATGGGAAGTGGAGCTACCGGGATTTGAACCGGCGCCCATATGTATCCCGGCGCGTTCAAGGAGAGGACTTTAGAAGAAAAAAGAAAAAAAGAAAAGAAAAGGAGACTCCTTTCTTTAAAGTTGCACCAGTGTGTCTTCACCTAGCTTCACAGAAGAATGGCACTCCGCATACACGCCATAGATATAGTAGGTAGGGGCAGAAAGGTAAAGGAAGGTTCAATAGGGAGACTGATGATTTGTCAATCATTACATGACAGGCAGAGAGGCAACAGCTGTCAGTAGATGGCAGGTGGTTAAGAGATGAATAGAGAAAGACATCTATAGATAGATGATAAAGAGATATAGATAAAGAGGTAGATTAATAGGTAGGCAGACAGCGATTCATCAATGGATAGATACATGATCAAAAGATGGAAGGCTGATGACAGGGAGATGATTCACAGAGATGTTAAATGATAGATGAGACAGAGCAAGCCAAAGATTGCAGATAGCCCCTGCGTGAGAGCCCCAAAGCCATCTTCTGTGGCCTATGAAAGATCTCCTGGGTCCCACAGGCTCTGGCCTGTCTCCCCATGTCACAGTGGATCACCACATCCCTCATCCAACCCCTTGTCCACATCCCTCCTGGTGACCGGGACCACGTTGGAGGGCTCCAGTCCAACACACCAGGAGCTGCCCACACCCTGGAGTCCTTCCTTTGCATCTCAGCTTCTCCCTGTGTCTTTCCCTGGAGGCAGGTGCCTGAGAGAACTCTGCAGAACCACATCACTGACTCTAATGTTTAGATTTGGACCTGCTGGGGCCCAGAAGCTGGAGGGGATCCCTTTGGAACCTGATCTGGAGCAAGACCATGCTGGGCTGAGACACTACCAGCTACAGCTTCAAGTCTGAGGAGCCTGCCCTGGAGAGGAGCAGATCTCCCCAATCCTGAGCGGGGAGCTCACCTCAAGGGCCCCTCACCCTTCCTGGCCCTGGGCATGGGCAGCCAGGTGAACTCTGGGATCATGGCCAGAAGCCAAGTGTTGATCCTACCAGGTTTGTTCAGGGATTCAATTTCAACATCAAATGAACAATCCGGCCAGTCCAGCCACCTGATAGGTGGAAGGCAACATAAAAGCCCCTTGGCCTGGAGGCACACGCTGTGGACAGCTCCTGTTACCTGTGCTGAGCTTGAGCACCCACCTCTGCAGGTAACTGGCCTGGGCCATCGGGACTCCCCACTCTACATCCCGGGGAGCAATGATGGAAGACAGGAGGGTGTGGGTACTGTGGCCAGGGACCAGGTTCCATGTAGGAGGCCTGCCCAGTCCTGGTCATGGAGAACATCCAGCTCTGGACCCTACCTTTTCCATTTGTCAAGGACCAATGTGAGTAGGACCTAGGGCTCCTGCCTGGAGTGGAGGAGAGGAGGGGAGGGTCCTGGTGTCTGCTGCCCAACCTCAGCCTCCCAGGCAATGGCAGACAGACTCATCCCTGGTGTGTGTACGTGTGGGGATGGAGGGGGAATCTTACCTAGTGATACCACGGGGTGTACAGAGGAGGTGTGCCCCAGGCTGTTTACCCTGCCCTGGGACCTTGATGGTGGCCAAGCTCCTTCTCCTGGATGTGAAGAGGAACCATTAGGACGCCAACTCTACAATGCATGCACACACGCAGACACACACACACAGACATACACACACAGACACACACACACACATACACGGTGCTGGGGACTGGCAGCTGTGCTGTGCTGTCTGCACCGTCCAGCTCTGGGCAGTGGCTGCTTTGTGGGCTGCAGCGTGGACTCAGCACAGAGCCCAAGTGAGGACACAGATGGATGGCCCCTTCTCCTCTCTCTGCCTCTCTCCCTACAGATGGCAATGGCCCTGACTGTCTCACTCTCAGCCACGGAGCTGCTCCTGGCCTCTGCCATCTTCTGCCTGGTGTTCTGGGTGGTAAGGGCCATGAGGCCTCGGGTCCCCAAAGGCCTGAAGAGTCTGCCGGGGCCCTGGGGCTGGCCCCTGCTGGGGCACATGCTGACCCTGGGCAAGAATCCACACCTGGTACTGACACAGCTGAGCCAGCGCTATGGAGATGTGTTTCAGATCCGCCTTGGCTCCACGCCCGTGGTAGTGCTCAGTGGCCTGAACACGGTCAAGCAGGCGCTGGTGCGGCAGGGTGACGATTTCAAGGGCCGGCCGAACCTCTACACCTCCTCCTTAATCACCAATGGCCAGAGCATGTCCTTCAGCCCAGACACGGGGCCCGTGTGGGCTGCCCGCAGGCGCCTGGCCCAGGACTCCCTGAAGAGTTTCTCCCTGGCCTCTGACCCTGCGTCCTCCAGCTCCTGCTACATGGAGGAGCATGTGAGCCACGAGGCCGATCACCTCATCCGCAAGTTCCAGGAGCTGATGGCGAAGACAGGGCGCTTTGACCCCTATGATCACCTGGTATCATCTGTGGCCAACGTCATTGGGGCCATGCTCTTTGGCCGGCGCTTCCCCAAGGAGAGCGAGGAGATGCTGGACCTCGTGAGGAACAGCAGTATTTTTGTGGAGTCAGCCTCGTCTGGCAACCCTGTGGATTTCTTCCCCTTTCTGCGTTACCTGCCCAATCCCGCCCTGCAGAAGTACAAGCATTTCAACAACAGGTTCCTGGAGTTCCTGCAGAGAACGGTCCAGGAGCACTACCAGGACTTTGACAAGGTGAGCCCAGTGGCAGGTGCTCTGGGACCATGGCCGGCTGATGCAGTCACATGGCCTAGGACCAACCACGCCTCCAAGCTGAGCCTAGGCATCTGCATCCCTCCTCCTTCCCTATCAGGGTCCAAGCAGAGGGTGGGGGTGCCCTCACTGGGGTGGGGGGAGGTTTTTGTCCTTCAGGAACCTGAACCCTGATACTGGCTGATCCCCAGCACTCCTGTTGCCTGCTTCCCTCTTCACACCACGCCTCTTCCTGCTTTGTAACTGGATCAGCCTCCCTGCTGTGAGCCCCAACCCCCTGCCAGGAGCACAGGGCAGGAGTGGGAGGGCCAAAGACCTGCTGTGGGTGCCCTAAGCCTGTGACCCTCCAGGACAGCATCCAGGACATCACGGGTGCCCTGTTCAAGCACTGCGAAAAGAGCGCCAAGGAGAATGGTGGTCTCATTCCACGGGAGAAGATCACGAACTTGGTCAACGACATCTTCGGAGCTGGTACGAGCCAGAGACCTATCCCTTTAGCCACAGGTGCCTGCTGGGCACCTCTGCCCAGACTGTGCCACCAACTCCCCATGCAAAAGGCTTCCCTGGCTCCCTCTCCTCCTCCTCGGTGCCTCAATTTCCCCATCTGAACAATATAGGATGCTCTTGGGGTCGGTGCCATGGCATAATAGGTTAAGCCTCCACCTGCAATAAGAGCATCCCTAAAGGTGTCAGTTCAAGTCCCTGCTGCTCCATTTCTGGTCCAGTTCCCTGTTAATGTACTTGGGAAAGCAGCAGAGGATGGCTCAAGTGCTTGGGTCCCAGAACACTCAGGGGAGACCCAGAGGAATGTCTGGGCTCCTGGCTTCAGCTCGGCACAACCCTGGCTGTTGCGACCATTTGGGGAGCTGATGCTGATGTCAATGTCCCAAGCCAATGCCCAGGAGACATGGCCCTGCCCTCGGGAATCCCATGAGCTGGGGTCTCAGGAAGATGCAGCTGGCAGGTGCTTGGAAGATGCGAGTCTCCTTGCTCCTGCCTTCCTCTCTCCCTCCCTGCACCCTACACTGCACAGGGTTCGACACCATCACCACAGCCCTCTCGTGGAGCATCATGCACCTGGTGACAAAGCCCCAGATTCAGAAGAAGATCCAGAAGGAGCTGGGTAGGTGGTGCCCCCAGCCCCTGCGCTCAGGCCTTGGTCATCCACACACCTGCAATGCACCTGCTCTGTGACAGTCCAGCCCCTAGAGCAAGGCCCACCTTTGTCCCCAAAGATGGTGGGGTCGAGTGGGACTTGGGGTGTGGGGCTTCAGGTGCAACCTAGCATGGGGCTTCAGCAGGTGCAACCTAGCATGGCAAGGGTGCCAAGGAGCATTGCCACAGCAGCTCCAAGCTCTGCCTGCTTCTCTGCAGACACTGTGATTGGCAGGGCCCGGAAGCCCCAGCTCTCTGACCGTCCCAAGCTGCCCTACCTGGAGGCCTTTATCCTGGAGCTCTTTCGCCACTCCTCCTTCGTCCCCTTCACCATCCCGCACAGGTGAGGCTGCCTGCTCTGCCCTCCCAGCCTTGCCTGGTCTCCTCTGCCTCCTCCCAGCCACACTCCCGACCTCACCTCTCCCACCCATTCCTTTCCTGCGTGCACCCCTCTGCCCCTGCAAGCACCAGCAGCCTCTGCCTCAGACCCCAGCCCAGGGGATTGCGGAGGGCAGGGCCGGGTCTCCTGGGCATATACTTTCGTCTAGAGTGACCAGGCCTTCTCCCTGGCTCCCACCGTCCAGCCCTCATGGGGGCCAGTGGGCTATCCCAACACACACCTGCCCTCTCTCGCTGGGGAGAGCATCTGGGCCCCAACTGGGTGGCACAAACCTCATTCTCTGCCCTCACCCTGGTCTACAGCCTCTGGTGCCTGACATTACACATGGTGTCCAGGGAGTGAGTGGACACTCACTCTGGCAAGAAGCAAGAGGCTTTTGTGGTGCAGCAGGCTAAGCTGCTGCTTTCCCTGTCAGCATCAGACTGCCCGGTTCAAGTCTTAGCTGTACCACTTCTGGTCCAGCTCCCACTGATGCACCTTAATTGCCCAAGTACTGGAGCACCTGGTTCCCATGTCATCACCCACCCACTGGGTCATTCCCCAAATGCCTACAGCAGCCAGGGCTGGGCCAAGGCTGAGGTTAGGAGCCTGGAACTCCAACCGGGTCTCTCCTGTGGGTGGCAGGGGCCCATGCACTTGGGCCAACCTCTGCATCCTTCCTGGGAGGGTGTTAGCAGGGAGGTGGAGGGAAGGAGAATTGCAGAGATTTAAGTGGCTGGCCACCAGCTCAGGCATGGGGAGGAGATTTTGTCCCTTCCCTGCCCCTCATCTTGCCTCCCATGGTGCGGGTGCATGACTTCAAGGGAGGAAGTTGGAGCACAGTGGGCACAGGAGGGAGAGTGGTTCCAGCTTTCAGCCCTGAGTGCTCCTGACGGCACCCTTCTTCCCTGCTCAGCACCACCCGGGACACCACCCTGAATGGCTTCCACATTCCCAAGGGCAGCTGTGTCTTCATCAACCAGTGGCAAATCAACCAAGACCCGTGAGTGCCTGTCCCTCGGGATGATGGGTGGAGACCTGATGGGCTGAGTCACCCAGAGCCTGCTTGTCCCCACTCCAACCATGGCACAGATATAGGGCAGAGCAGAGGGCATAAGGCAGGGCAAATGCCATGGCACAGGGCATAACAGGGCATAGAGCACAGGACATTGGGCAGAAGGCACACAGCAGGGCACAAGGCATGTATGCAGAGCACAGAGAGCAGGGAAGGGACATGGCAGAACACATGGCACAAAGAAGGGCATATGACACAGGGTTGGGCACAAGGTTGGGCACAAGTCAGAGCAGAGGGCACAGGTGAGAGCAGAAGGCAGAACAGTGGGCACAGCGCAGGGCTCACGGCAGGGCAACCTCTTCCAAATGACCAGCTTCAAGTCCATGTTTCTCAGACTTCGCTGCCATGAGTGGCAGCCGGGGAGCTGGTGTTGAGCTCAGCAGTGAAGGTGTTCACAGCCCCTGTTGGAGTACCCCAGCCCACCCTCTCCCGCCCCCATTCCAGCATGGATTGTCCAGGGCCCTTGCTTCCAGGCCCACCCTCGCAGCCTGCCTCCTCTCCTCCTTCTGGCAGGAAGGTATGGGGAGATCCATCGGAGTTCCGGCCCGAGCGATTCCTCACTGCCAATGGCATGGCCATCAACAAGCCCCTGAGTGAGAAGGTCACGCTGTTTGGCATGGGCAAGCGCAGGTGCATCGGAGAGACCCTGGGCCGCTGGGAGGTCTTCCTCTTCCTGGCCATGCTGCTGCAGCGGCTGGAGTTCAGTGTGCCGCCCGGCCTGCCCGTGGACCTGACCCCCATCTACGGGCTGACCATGAAGCACCCCCACTGCAAGCACGTGCAGGTGACCCTGCGCTTCTCCACCCAGTGAAGAAGCCAGCAGAGGACCAGGGCAGGACAGTCACCTTGGGGAGGGAGGAGTGTCCTGGCCCTTCCTTCCTTGCTTTTCTTGACTGCGTTGGATTCTCACACTGGTCATTACCCCCTCAATGCATGCAGCCCACTATCTTGGAGGAAATCCACACCCCTGTGATCTGCCTGCACCATGCTTGCAGTTATGTCACCTCCCCTCACGTGCCCACAGTCACCAGCTCCCCGACCCTGCTGCCCCAGCCTCCCAGCCTCCCTACTTTAAGCAGCTGCTCATTTACTTTGCGCTGTGGGTTTGACATCCTGGCACGTCCTATAAATGAAACTGTCCACTACGTGGTGTGTCGTGACTTTCTGCTGGCTGCTCATGCTCCAGTGTGCCTGTGATGGGTTCTGATCTCTTGAGTCCTGAGACCAGCGCCTGGACTCCCTACTTCCCAGGCACCTCTTTCCCCGTTCACTGCTTTCATCACTGGCCCCAGTGTGGAACACCTGAAGAGAAAGGGGAGGAAGGGACCATCCCCGGTGCATGAATGGAGATTCTTCATGCCCCACGTTTGAGCTCTAGCACCTGAGAGGAAGTACCACAGCTTAAGCCATCACATGGCAGCATCCTTTAGGGTGCCAGTTCAAGTCCTGGCTGCTCCACTTCCCATCCAGCTCCCTGCTTGGGACCTGGGAAGGCAGTGGAGGATGTACCAAGCCTTGAGACCCTGCACCCAAGTGGGAGACCTGGAGGAAGCTTCGATCTCCCGGCTTTGGACGAGCTAGCTGCAGCGCTTGCAGCCATTGAGGGAGTGGATCAAGTAGATGAAAGTGCTCTCTGTCTCTTTCTCTCTCTAACACTGCCTTTCAGTGAAAAATAAGTAAATTTTTTAAAAAGTAAACAAAAGTTTGACCGAGGTTGAGAGTGGGGAAGACAGGATTTGTTTGCAGCTTCTGTCTGGAGACTAGAGTCTAGACATAGATACAGGCGGTGTGCCCACATCACTGGGAATGTCACTGACATCCATGAGTTACACACTGAGATAGTTACAGTCAGGGGCTGGCTTTGTGGCTCAACGGGATAAGTGTTTGCCTGCAGTACCCACATCCTACACACGGACACCAGTTTGAGTCCTGGTTGCTCCAAGTATGATCCAGCTCCCTGCTAAAGCACCTGGGGAAAGCAGCAGAGCATGCCCAAAGTCCTTGGGGCTCTGCACTAAAGTGTGGAAGACCTGAAAGAAGCTCCTGACTGCGAACTTCAGCCTGGCGCTGGTGGGTATTTAAGTAGTGACCCAGGGCCTGGGAGATCCTTCTCTCCCCTTCCTTTTTTCCCATTTTTTTTTGTATCTATGCCCTCTAAATAAATAAATAAATCCTTTTTAAAAAATTCACTTTTGCCATCAGTTAAAATAGGTAATGTCAGTGGTGTAATATGTTAAGGATTGGGTTCAAGGAATGCATCTGTTTCTAATTTTTTTCTTCCTAAAGCTTTATTTATTTTCTTATATGTTTATTTGTTTCTTGGCAAAAATTTCCCCAATCTTATTAGAAAGGTAAATTTAAATGGAGAATGACAACAAAAAGAAAATTATTTCAGTAGCTGTTTAACTCCCCAAATGGCAATAACGGCAGCAGATGAGCCAATCCGAAGACAGGAGCAAATTCTGGGTCCCCAGTGTGGGTGCAGAGTCCCAAGGTTTTGGGCCATCCTCCAGCACTACGTTCCCCAAGCCAGTCAGGGAGCTGGATGGGAAGTGAAACAGCTGGAACATGAATGAGTGGCATATGGTGTGGTGGCACTTACGAGGCAAGGATTTAGCCACTGAGCTAACACACCGGGGCTTATTTGTTTATTTGAACGTCAGGTGGCAGAGAGAGATGCCTTGCAGCAAATGGTTCACTGCCTAAATGGACACATTAGCCAAATCTGCTCCAAAACCAGGTGCTGGGAACTCCACCCAGGTCTCCCACATGGGCATAGAGGCCCAGGCACTTAAGCCATCCTTCACTGCTTTCCCAAAGGTGTGTGTGCAGGGGAGCCAATAGGAAGCAGAGCAGCTGGAACCTGAACTGGTACTCGTATAGGAGACGTTGAGCAGCTTAAGCTGCTGCCCTCCAACAACAGCCATTCCTTCACTGTTCCTATAACCTAAAATTAAAACCCTAACCCCAAAAGCCCATTAGTAATGCAAATCAAAAGGCAGTAAAACAGCACAGCATTGGCCGAGCACTTGGTAAGGGGAGCACTCCTGAGGAGCTCCCCTGAGCCTCCACCTGGTCCCTCATGGAGGCCTCCTGTGGACCTTGGGTGTAGCTCTGTGTGCTTGGTTAAAGAGGTAATGGCTGTCTGCTCTTGGCAAGCCATGGTGACACCTGTCAGCTCGCCAGGCCAGCCTTCACCTGGGCCATGGGGACTGACAGGGCCGGTTCCCAGCAGGTGCAGGACAGTCAAAGGCAACCCTGGCATGCATGGCACAGCCCAGGTCCCACGGCCCTCAGCTGGGGCTGCTCACCTGAGCTCTGTGCATACAGATGATTGCACCTGGTTTGGCAGGAGGTGTAAGGAGAAGGCTGTATAAAGTGCTAGGTTCCCATGTGTGCAGGCGTACACGTGCAAACACACACACACACCAGGAATGCCAGTCTCTGGCTGGTGCATCCACCAGGATAGGGGGAGGCAGCATTCCCAGGACACTGTCCGTGGGGTCCTGCCAGGGCCTGGGCTCAGCCCACTTCCTTCCACTGCTCGCTTCCCCACACACCCAGGAGTTAGGGAGGGCTGGGGGTGCTGGCGTGCCAAGGAACAATGGGCCCCCCACCCCTTCCGGCTCCTTGCGTGAGAAGGAGCTGCTGCAGGAAGCTCAACTCCCAGAGGGACGGGCCACCGCCCCCTGCTGCCTGCCCCAGGGAGGCCCAAGACATTCCCTGGGTGCATTCTGTCCCCACCAACAGCACAGACTCTCTCAGTCCCACTTTTTTCTTTTTTTAAAAAGATTTATTTCTTTTTATTGCAAAGTCATAAAAACAGAGAGGAGGAGAGACAGAGAGGAAGAACGTCCATCCAATGATTCACTTCTCAGGTGACCACAATGGCCGGTGCTGCACCAATCTGAAGCTGAAAGCCAGGAATCTCCTCCAGCTCTCCCACGTGGGTGCAGGGTCCCAAGGCTTTTGGCCATTCTTGACTGTTTTTCCAGGCCACAAGCAGGGAGCTGGATGGGAAGTGGAGCTACCAGGATTAGAACTGGCGTCCATATGGGATTCCAGTTCATTCAAAGAGAGGACTTTATGACTAGATCACCACACTGGGCCCCCTCACTCCTACTTTTGAGGAGCTCGTCCCATCTGGGAATGCTCATCTGTGCCTGGGCTGGGTGTTACTCCCATTTGCCAGTGTGTTGCCTGTTCTATAGCAATATCCATGGGTGCTGAGCACTGAGGCAACGACCTGGGGAAGGAAGGCAGGGTCCCAGGGGCTGAGCAGCAGAGATGACAGGAAATGATGCAGCTGGGGCAGCCGGGACTCCCACACTGGGGACAGAATTCCCTGTAGGGAACACGGGGCACCTCCAGAACCCCCACATGCACTCTCTCTTGCACGTGCACAGGCACGCTGGCTCCAGGCTCCAGGTGGCTCTTGTGCCTCCACCATCAGACCTGGTGCCCTCTGAGGCAGGGCCACGGGCTGCCAGGCTCACACCCCACACAAGAGCCCAGTGGTCCTCACCTCACAGGCAGGTGGCCAAAAGCATAGGGCTGGACCCTGAGGTGGGCTTGCATCGTGTTCCTCATCTTCCTGCCACACCCCTTCTGTTCTTGGCCTGCTCCTCAGACCTCAGGTGGGACCTCAGCCAAGGAGTGGGAGAAGCAGACACACCCGAACAGCCACCCTGCCTGACAACTAGCCCCTACCATCACTCAGAGGAGAAGGACTGAGGGCACAGGACAGGGTCAGGGTGGTGCACCTGCAGACATATGCCCCCACCTGCAAGCACGCACATATTGGCTGCCGTGCTGATCCACCTGAGCACACACCTGGCCAACTCCCACAAACCGTGTGCAAGCAGGCCCATGCTTGCCCGTGTGTGTGCACTTGCCCTCACGCCTCCCACAGGCAAACCACGGCTGCCCCTGCCCTTTGCTCAGCCCCGTTGCACCCAGACCTTGCACCTGCATCCTGTGCAGGTGCTCCAGGCTGTGAGATCCCATGCCCTCTGTGGGGTGGGAGATGGCGAGACTGCTGGCCAGCCTGTTCATCTGTGATGCTTGTCATGGAAAATTCACCTCTCAATCCATGGAGCATCAAAGCCACAAGGAAGAAGATGAAGTTGAGCCCACATGGATCAACCAGCTCTGTGTTCTTAAGGACCGCAGGCGGAGGACCCTGCATTGTAACCTAGTGACTAAAGTCCCTGCCTTGCATGTGCTAGGATCCCATGTGGGCCCCAAGGGGAGTTGTGGACAGCAGCCCCTCACCAACCTCCTCCCTCTGCTCCCTGCCTACTGCCTCCTGCAGAGTCCCCATGCTAAACCTTCCAAGGAGCCCCCTGGCTTAGCATTGCATCTGTGACCTTCTTGCCCCAGGTTGGATGAGAGATTAATGTCCTTCGTATCTCCCTCCCTTTCTCTCTCTAGCTCTGCTTTTCAAATAAATAAGAATAAATCTTTAAAAATTTTCACAGAACCTGGCACAATGACTCAATTCCTAATACTACCCTCACAAGCATCCCATATATATGCCGGTTCATGTCCTGGCTGCTCCACTTCCCATCTAGCTCCCTGCTTGTTGCCTGGGAGAGCAGTCGAGGATGGCACAAAGCCTTGGGATCCTACACCCGTGTGGAAGACCCGGAAGGAGCTCCTGGCTCTGGTTCCAAGGATTTCTGCCATCAGCCTCTGCTTCCCTGGCCCACCAGCAGAGAGCAAGATGGGTGTGAGGATCGGCCAGGAATGTAATGGGTTTGTAGCAGGTGCTGTTGGCATTTGGGGCCAGAAAGTTCTTTCTTATAGGAG